GGAGGAATGACACTGAAACACTAGCAATAGGGCGAGCAGGGACTCATCAGCGATAGCTTCCTGGTGGCCCACATGAATACTATCATCCGTTCCCTGCGCAGCTTTCTCTCCTGCCACTTTCACTTCACTGTGCCGTAATCATTCCGTTATTACAGTGTTCGTGACCACCGATTCACAGCAAAGGAAGCTGCCCTGGACGCGGGAGCTGCCCTGGCCTGCTCTCCTCTTGTTTATTGCCTACAGCATTTCAGGCTGCGTTCATGCTCATAATTAAAACCAAAGCAAACAGCTTTCTTTCTAGAGCTTTCCGCTTTAAGAGTATCTTCTTGGAATAAGTTGCTGTGGATTTGATTAGGATAAAAGGACATAAGAACATGAGGCTCTTGACACCTCAGCCAGATCTCAGTACAGACCGGATCAAAGGGGCTGTGACACTCGCCCCCGCCCCACTGTTCAGGGGGCGCTCTAACACGCTGCCCGCACTGCTGAGGTCTGAGGTCTTTGTTTCACAAGTGTTGCTATAGATCCTAATTGTTGGATCCTAAATGTTCCCCAAAAGCTCCTGTGTTAAAGGCTTGCTCCTCAGAACAGCACTGCTGTAGGCGGTGGGGTACAGTGAGCGTTGGGTCACTGGGGCACACCTTAGACGGGAACTGAGGGACCCCAGCCTCCTCCTCTCTCTCTCACTTACCAGCCAGGGGGTGAGTGGTTTTGTTCTGTGAAGCATTCCCGCCGTAATGTCTCCCCTCAGGCCCCAAAGCACAGGGCCAACCAGCTACGTGAGCACTGGAACCTCCGAGACCGTGGGCCAGAACAGCCCCTTCTCCGTACGAGCTGATGACCTCAGGCTCTGTCAGAACAGTGTGATGGAAAGCCTCCACCTGCACAACCGGGGGGCAAAGCCCTCCCAGAGACACGCTGTGCTCGTGTCTGCTTCACACCTCTGCAGGCAAGGCCGGGAGAGCCTGGGGTGGCTCTGAAGGACACAGTTAGTGTAGCCCCTCCTCCCGCACTCAGGGTGCAGGGAGCCCAGCCAGCTTGCTCCAAGCCCTGCCTCCAAGTGTGTGCCAGCTCCGCCAGGGAACGTGCTGCTGATTTAAAGGCTCTCCAGGGGACACTGTAACTGTTATTTTACTACTATCATTCACTTTTTTAAAGCGATAAAAAATACTTATAAGATTTCACAGTCTTCACTCTCTTTAAGTGTCCAATCCATTAGGGCTGCGTATGTCCTACTGCGCAGCCATCATTTCTAGTGTTACGGCAGATCAGTGAGGACCTCCTTTTGGAAATTTACAGGAATTCACAAGGTTTAGGAGCTTTCCCATCACAAGATTTACATTTCCCAGGTGTTCAGCAGGGTGCAGTTGGATTTTAGCTTGCCCCACAGTTTGTCCTACTGTTTGTTCCTCCGGATAACATCTTGTTTCTCTTTTTGTGGGTTTACGGCTAAGGGGAGGGGAGTAAGTTTCCTCTAAAGTTTAAGTGAGTTCTAAAATGGAGTTTGAAGGAAATAAAATGGAGCCTCTTCTGCAATGTCAGTAGCACTTCTTCATCTTGCAAAGCTGAAACTCTGTAGCTCTTGATGAATAGCTTTGCATCCCCTGCCCTGTCCCGGCCCCTGGGGCCACCATCCTGCTCTCAGTGACTGCCCAGCTCCCTCCTGTAAGCAGAACCCTCTGTGACTGGCACGTCTCACTTGACATAACGTCCTCAACGGTCACCTTTGTTTACCACGTGTTAATCGCTTCTCTCACCGCTGGAAAAAATACCCGGTGCCCCTTGCTTTAGGGAGGAAAGGTTTGCTTTGGTGGCTGGAGAGCTGCTCACTGAGTGGGTCAAGGGAGGAGCAGGTAGGAAGAAGAACCCTCCAGGCTGCGTCCCTGGTGATGACCCCCAAGAGCAGGTCCCGCCCAGCAGCATGTGAAGTTTGGGGGGACATCTAGCTATAAACTACAACACATATGCCAGCACCTCCTTCTGTCTGAGGCTGTGTCATATGCCGTTATACAGATGGACTGTTTATTTACCCATTCGGTCATCCACGGGCTGCTTCCCTAGTTTGTATTTTGTTTTTGCTGTTTTGCGGGGCTGTTTCTCAAACTCAAGGCCTTGCACGTGCTAGGCAAGCACCGTGCCACCGAGCTGTACATCTGGCCTCCGTCATCAGGTTTTTAAATTATTCCTCGACACTGGAAATAGTGGGATACTTTGAGGTAGCTAAAAAAACAAAGGAAGCCTGTCCTCTGTGGAAAGATCTCCAAAATACACAGTGAAAGGGGCCCCACACAGGGCAGTGTGGACACTGCTGCTTTTTGCATAATAAAGGAGAAAAGGGGAACATATATTTATGTGTCTTTGTCCTCCGTACATAACTGAGAAAAGAGAAATAAGAAAATAGAAGCATTACTTATGGCACGGAAGGGGCATGCATGGGTGCAGTGGGGACCTCGGCCTGGGTCCCCGTCTGGCGCGGTTTGTGCTGCCCCCTGTCGCTCTGCGTTCTCGCTGGCCCCTGCTCGCTCCTTCACCCCGGGTGCCCAGGAGCCCCCATAGCACACACCCATAATGACCAGCCGTGGACACGCAGCCTATGCCTGGCACTGTTCTCCGCAGCCTCTCCTGTCTCTGTCCTCAGGGACACCCTCCCAGGCCTTCTGGTTCCAGGTGGCTGCAGCTCCTGCTGGATGGAATGGGAGGCTGAGGTGCCCAAGGCGGGCAGGGGAGCAGCAGGGTCCCCACATCCCACAGCCACCCTCACCCCTCATGCAGGGGCTGGGGTCGGACACCCACCCTGGCTGCCCCCAGCCCATGCCACGCAGCACAGGCCCTGCCTCCGCTCTCAGGGGCTCCTGCACACATCCAACCGTGGAACTGTCACACGCCCCCTCCCGGCATGGCCCCCTCGAGTGCCTGTGTCTGGGGGGCGGTCTCCCGTAGCACCATCTGTGTGTCCTCTGCCCTCCTCCACCAGATCTGCGAGGTCACGCTTTGTCCGCAGTGCCTGGGACGGTGCCAGAAGCCACTCCAGTGTGCTCGAATGACTGACCCTGGGCAAGGAGGACAAGCCTGTCCACTGAGCCCCAGGCCTGCAAGCAGCTGAGGTCTACGGGTATTTGCAGGTCTGAGGGCCCCCGGTAGCTGGTTCCTTCTCTAGGGAATCCATGGGGGTCATGCTGGTTTGCAGCCCCTCCCGGGCCCCCGGTGGGAGCTGCCTCTGTAGCCACACAGCCACTTTAGTCACTGTAGCCACTGTAGGCGCAGCCGGGTCTGAGGACACCCCGCTTCCCCGCCCCATCCCTGGCAGCCCGGCACCAGTTCCAAGCCAGGCCCAGGTGCTCTGGAGCCTCTGGCTCATCTCTCGAAGGGCGCTTCCTCCCACCACAGGGCCCGTGCTGCTCTGGCCTGCAGGGCAAGTCTGTGTCGAGCCTGGCTCATCTTCAAGAAAATGGGACCGGGGCTGGGCAAGACAACACTGCAGGGTGAAGGTGCCGACTTCTGGCAGGAGGGAGCGGACCTTATCCTGTGGTGTGGACTTGGGCCCCAGGCATAGGCAGGGCTGATGCCCACCTCAGAGCTGGCCGCTACTCCCTGAAGTATCCATAGTCCCCGGTGTGCCCACGTGGGGTGGTCAGGAGGTGGCCTCATGAGATGTGACAGTTTCATTGGCTGAAGATTGAATGTCTACAGCTTGGCAGAGGCGGTGGGAATAAAGCTCGACTGTCACCAGGGCCCGGACTGCCCTCCTCCAGCCGTCACCCAGCCCAGCTCCCCACGCCCACTGGGCCTTGGGCCAGCCCTTGGAAGCCTCCATCTGAGCCCACGTCCTGCTCCGCTCTCAGGGAAAGGCCTCTCTGGGCTGGAAAAGACAATCAGGGGCAGCAGAGGTGAGGTGAGCAAGGGACGTCACATCCCAGGAGGCTCCAGTGGTAGCCCTAGGATGCCATGACAGGACTCAGGCACCTGGACATGCAGGGTCGGGGCTGGCTGAGCAGTCACAGGCTGGTCAAGATGCCTGGCAGTCAGGGCCCCTTCCTTTCCAGGAGGACGGGCCCACAGGAAGTGGGCAGAGCCTCCGAGAGTCAGTGCAGGACCCTGCACAGGAGTTTATCCACATCAGTGTGTCCGCACCTGCTGCAAGGTCAGAGGGTCTGGCGGAGCTGGCTTGGTCTAGCGGAGGTGTGGCTGCAGCAGTCATCCTGACCGTCACACCGGCCTTTCTCCGTGCCAGGCACTGACAGCAGAGCCCAGGCACCCAACAGGCTAAGAGGGAGTCCACTGCACAGAGGTCAGGCACGGCCTGGGAGCCGACTCCGCAGCGGGGTGGAAGGCCCCACGGGAGGAGGCGTAAGGCATGAAGACGGTGGGATGGTGTGTTTGGGGAAAAGTGCATTCAGTGCTAAGAACGTGGGGAGGCCACACGGGTCAGCCGTCGCCACAGAGCACCTGGAACGCCAGGCCACGGAGCCCACCTGAGAAGACCCCAGCTCACCCAGCTGCAGCGCCACACACGCCCTAGCAGCGCCGGCACAGTGACAGCAGGGTCTCCACGCTGTGCTTAGGACTGTGCCCACTCTCCCGGCCCCTCCTAGTGACAGGACGGCCCGAGCCACCTCCGCCTTGCATTACACCCGCACAGAGGCTTCAGGCGCCAAGGCAGTTCTGGCATTATGGCTGTGCTCCACTCTCCGCCCCGTCTGGGTCAGGTCTGTCTCTGAACCAATCTTTGTGGCCCGTGGCAGGGAGGAACAGACCGACGATCCGGGACTTGATGAAAACAACCTCCCTGGGCAGCAGCTCCGGAAGGAGTCTTCCTCTAAATGAGCAGCTCAGCAGAAAAGTGATGGTTAGACTCTGAGGGCGGCTTGGGGCCCGCACAAGGAAGGAGAGGGGGACGTCATCGCTGGACTTACGTGGACATCGAGGTTAAAGGGAGCCCAAGGCACCAGCAGGCCCCAGCTCGAGTGCACCCTAACTGCTCCTTGCTGTGGCAGGCAGGCATGCCCCAGATGCTGAGCACCTCCAACACGGTCACCCCGGCAGCCTCAGCCTGCCCCCCAGAGAGCCCGGAGATGGCGAGCAGGCTGGGCAGCCCCTCCTGGGCGGAGCCCCTCCTCAGCCTCTCTGGGCACCCTGATCCAGCACCTGGAGCCCACAGCCAACTACTACCCCTGGTGGGTGAGCCGCCAGCGGGCAGGCGCAGCAGGGGGCTCTCTCCACAGGCGTGGAGCTGGCAGCAGGGCTGCGGGTGGCCTGGGCCCAGGAAGGCGGCAAGCCCTTGCCCACGCCCTTGTGAGCTGACCATCTTTCTTTTGTGTGCCCTCAGAAAGCCTACATCTTCACCTTCCTGCTGAGCGCTCGCCCCTTCATGGAGCCCCGGGAACTCCTGGCCTGGGTCTGCCACCTGAGCATCGAGCCGCGGCAGCTGGACAAGCCGGCGCTGGACAAGGTGAGGGCCGGGCTTCCAGCACTCTCACTTCAGCCTCTCAGGAAGGCTGTGCTGTCCCTGTCCTGACAAGGAGCCCACGGGGTTCTGATTTGCCTGAGCTCGGGGCCTGGAAGATGGAGCTGGTTGCCACAGCTCTGTGCAGCTTTGCAGTGTCCCCAGGAGCCCTGGGTCACCCTGCCGTGTGTGCCCCAAGCCCAGTCAGCCGGATCCCACTGTCTGTGCCCTGGCTGGCCCTGTAGCCTGTGCTGGGCTTCTTACCCCGGCACAGCCTTTCTCGGTGGGGTCTGCGGATGGCCCGGGCTTCTTGGGGCTGCTTGCGTCCTTTCCTCTATTCCTGGTCTAGGCCCACACACTGTGGCGATGTATTTGCATGTCAGTCTGGCTTTATGATTTCAGTGTCAGAAACCCAACTTCAGCTGGCGAAGGGACGGACCTTCTCGTGTAACTGCCAAGTCTTAGGTCCTGCTGGCTCCAGGGGCCCGACTGACATTAAAATGTGGTCTTTCTCACTCCAACCCACTGGTCTCATCCAGGCCTGGGGACCCCTCTGGCTCCCACCATTCTCCAGAGTGGCAACAAGTGGCCTCAGTCAGTACAGTCACCGTCCCCCCGCCCCAGCCGCGTGGAGAGCAAACACCTTCTCCAGGGTCTAAAACAAGTCCCGGGCGTGTGGGCTTAGCAAGGTCACAGGCCCAGTGGAGCGGCAGGCCTCACCCAGGAGGGGGCCTGCTGCGTTCCCCTGGGGGGACTCAGCTCCCCCAGCAGCGTGCTGGAAAGCGGATTCTGCAGGGGGCACTGAATGGGAGAAGGAGTGCAGGGTGGCCAGCAGGCGGAGGTAGCCCAGCCTCGAAATGCTGCCATGGCCCTCTGCCCGCCAGCCCGAGCCCTATCGTGTCCTGGGCACAGACAAGAGGCAGAGCCTCGGTGGGCCACACTGGGCAGTGCACATGCGAGGAGGCCAGCTCGCCCCACCCCTCACCCTGCCCGGCCCCAGCGCTCCGCTTGCCCTGCAGGCCTGGCTCCAGAAGTTTGGCTCCAGACTGCTCCGGTTGCTGGCCAAGTGGATGGAGACCTTCCCGCGGGACTTCCAGGAGGAGTCGGCCACTGGGCACCTGAAGGATGTGGAGGGCCACATCACCCCCTGTGACGAGGCGGGCAAGCGGAGCAGAATCCCTTCACCCCACACCCTCCCACCCCGGGCGCCCACACCCACCTCAGCTGCAGGCAGGAAGGAAGCAAAGGCCTCTGGTTCCAGGCCTGGCTTCCCGACCTCTCTCCTGGCCTGCTGTCACGGATGGCGCTAGACGGCCAGGGTTCTGTCTGGCTGTTGACCTGTGACCCACAAGGTCCACAGCCTGGGCCTTGTGCCCTGTCCAGAGCTATCCTGGCAGCCAGTGCTCCCGGCCAGGGCAGGAAAAGGGCTCTGGCTAGTGAGCCAAAGGAGAGCAAGGTGGGCGTAACAACCACATGTGGACAGACCCTCCTCAGATCTGCTCAGCCCCAGGGGCACCTGTGAACCGTGCAGTGGAGGACCCTCCTGCAGCCGGAAGTGTGCTCAGGTGAACTGGCCCTGACACTGGGACACCCTGGTGGCCTTGGAGGCAGCAGGTGCCCAGGCGCCGGGTGCCTCTGTGTCCCATCCTGTCCTGCTCTTCCGGCTGTGTCTCCCTGAGGGCACTTGCAGGAACCTAAGCCTTACTTCGCTTATGGGTGCAAGGGGGACAAAAATCTCCACTTCCAGGACTGAGAATGCGAGGAAGGCCCTGCAGAGGGCCAGAGGTCTTCTGGTGGTTGGCAGGAGAAGGCTCCTCAGGCCCCCAGGACCCCATGCACGGCACTGAAGCAAGATGTTCTTTTTCTGGAAGCAGAGGTCAGTTCGGGGGAGGAGGAGTGTTGGTGTGTCACCTGCGCTGGGAGGAAAGCGACCCTGGTGAGCTGGGGGTGAGCGCTGTGCCCCAGAGTGGGTCTGGACGTGCCATGTGAAACAAAGGCAAACGCTAACGCAGGCTGGACAACAGGAGGCCATATCGCCCGTGGCCTCAGAGGCTCAGAGGGGCAGTGCCCGGGGTCACTTCACCTGCGCAGATCCCAGAGCTGTTCTGAGGTCTCCCTCCTCTGCATCCCGGATCCGTCTCAGGGTGAGGGGCTAGGCTCAGGGTACAGCACAGGGGTTCTGGGAAAAGTTGACTGGTGGGTGGGCAGGGGAGGGGGACATGAGAAGGAGGCTGCAGGCCAGATGGCTGGCTGGGAAGTTGGCTACTTTTTATTGATGGGTGAGGGGAAGGGTGTTTGTGTAATCTGCAGAGGCGTGGGGTGAGTGGGTGTGGAAAGACTGATGGCAAAAAGGGAAAGTGGAAGGGGGCTGGCAGTGGGAAGATGGTGAGCAGAAGAGGAGGTGGACGTTAGGAAGGACAGAGGGAGAGAGGTGGGAGCCAACGGATCTGCAGGTGGCCTAACGCCCTCCTGGAAAGGCTGTCGGAAGGTGAAGGCCATGTTCGTCCAAGCCCCGGCACATGTGTGGGACCCCTGTGAGCCAGGCATGAGCAGAGTGGAGGGAAGAATCCCAGCTGGGCAGGTGCCGTGACAGGTGCTGCACGTGGGCACCGGTATCCCCAGTGGTGGAGGGCACTCAAACTCTGGGAAATGAGCAGCCTATACTGAAAGGAAGCACACCGGGGCCTTCTGCGGGCCCCAGGGAGGATGGGAAAGGGTCCAGAGAGTGACCTGTGTCCAGAGCACAGAGGGTAAAGGGACGGTGAAGCCATTGAGTGTGGCCAGAGGTGGACTCAGGGCCTTAAAGCCACAAAAGCCGTGGAAACATTTTAAGAGGGAGGTGGGCCCAGTCTGGCAGGAGACAGAATGGAGCAGAGCCCACATGGACCGTGTGGGCAGAGGCCGTGGCAGGGGCTGGCCCAGAGATGACGGTGGACATGCCCGGAAATGGGAAAGACAGCAGGAGGGTAGGTGGTGGCTTAGAGGCTGTGAGAGAAGGCAGCATCGGGCACGACTCCGGCCAGCGTGCAGTGCCAGGGATGCCACCTCTGGGCAAGGACAGTGCAGCTTCCATGTGCAGTCAGATGCGCCTCGGGCAGCACGGTGTGGAGATCAGAGGGGCCACACAATGCCACACTTTGAGCGACACTGTGAAGCCAGCCAGAGTTCCTGGGAGCAGAGGGCACAGGGGAAGAGGGCACGGGACAGCCAAGGCGGGAGGAACCCAGACCCACCCGCGGGGAAGTCAGAGGGGCCTGCAGACCACCCAGGCAGCAGGAGCCGAGGCAGCCTCCGAGGAAGCGTCCCCAGAAACCACCCCTGGCTTTAGGGATGGGAGAGCTGGCCTGGTGGCGGATGGGGCTGGCAGCCACATGCAGTGGCCATGCTGGTACAGGCGGCCGGGCTCAGGGCCCGCTCTGCTCCTTATGACCAGAGCCCCGGGGGGACCTGCTGCTGTCTCCCTCAGTCAGCCCAGCCGCTGAGGGCACCTTCCCTTAGCAGCAGGGTTCCTCCCCGCGGGTACAAGGGCAGGTGGCCCTGTAGAAAGGGCCAGGGCCTTTGTCTGTGCACCCCCCCAGGGGGTGGCCCGGGGGAGGGATCCATCTCTTCTTCTGAGCTGAGCTGAGCTGAGGGCCTGGTCAGGGCGGCCTTTACCGCACACCTCCAGCCCCAAGCTGACCATCATACAGAGGTGGCGGTGTGGGCTGTGCTCCGCGGGGGCGGACGCACCCCAGTCCTAGAAAAGAGTTCTCTGGTTACCAGGGTGCTGCTGGCAGGGCCAAGGGCGGGGCGGGGAGGCTGCAGCCCGCTGGAGCCAAGCAGGAGGCCCAGTGCCAGGCAGAGCCTGCTCCAAGCCTCCCTCCTTGGTCCGCCTCCCAGCGGCGCAAAGCCCTTCTTCCGTGGCCCGGGGAGCTGTGAGCCTGCAGCCTCCTCCCAGGGCCCTGCCCTGCGCCCCGGCTCTGCACGTCCAGGGGCCCCAGGGAGCGGCCGGGCCTCCCTTCGCGCGGGACACCCGGAGAGGTGCGCGGCTGAGCGCCCC